TTTGTTTGATTTCAGACCTTTTTGTTTGATTTCAGACCTTTTTATTTGATTTCATACCTATTTGCTTGATTTCAGACCTATTTGTTTGATTTCAGACCTTTTTATTTGATTTCAGACCTTTTTGTTTGATTTCAGACCTTTTTGCTTGATTTCAGACCTTTTTTTATTTTATTTCAGACCTATTTGTTTGTTTTCAGACCTTTTTGCTTGATTTCAGACCTATTTGTTTGATTTCAGACCTTTTTGCTTGATTTCAGACCTATTTGCTTGATTTCAGACCTATTTGTTTGATTTCAGACCTTTTTATTTGATTTCAGACCTTTTTGTTTGATTTCAGACCTTTTTGCTTGATTTCAGACCTTTTTTTTAAATTTTATTTCAGACCTATTTGTTTGTTTTCAGACCTTTTTGCTTGATTTCAGACCTATTTGTTTGATTTCAGACCTTTTTGTTTGATTTCAGACCTATTTGTTTGATTTCAGACCTATTTGCTTGATTTCAGGCCTTTTTGTTTGATTTCAGACCTTTTTTTTTTATTTCAGACTTTTTGTTTGATTTCAGACCTTTTTTTATTTCAGACCTATTTGTTTGTTTTCAGACCTTTTTGCTTGATTTCAGACCTATTTGCTTTATTTCAGACCTATTTGTTTGATTTCAGACCTTAGAAATATTTGCTTGATTTCAGACCTTTTTGTTTGATTTCAGACCTATTTGCTTGATTTCAGACCTATTTGCTTGATTTCAGACCTATTTGTTTGATTTCAGACCTTTTTGCTTGATTTCAGACCTATTTGCTTGATTTCAGACCTTTGTTTTCATTTCAGACCTATTTGTTTGATTTCAGACCTATTTGCTTGATTTCAGACCTATTTGCTTGATTTCAGACCTTTTTTTATTTCCGACCTTTTTGTTTGATTTCAGACCTTTTTGTTTGATTTCAGACCTTTTTTTTATTTCAGACCTTTTTGTTTGATTTCAGACCTTTTTGTTTGATTTCAGACCTATTTGCTTGATTTCATGTATATTATAAACGTGAATTTCATATATCTGATACACGTGTATATCAAATAAATTGTATACTACATAAGATACATTATAAAATATATAATATAATATATTGCATTAAAGGGATTTGATGTCTCATACAATTTCATGAAGTAATAATATTTCTCATTGAAAATTTGGCTTTCTACTGTCAAATATTTGTGGATGTAGTCAAGAGAATACAAATACACTAACGGTAAACGGGTATTATCACCTTTCGACAAATTAGTAAAATATTTCTTATATTCCTATATCCAAGGTTTCACCAAACTGATTGGATTATGAGACCTCCCATTATATACTTTTATATTTGTTTGGTCCGACTTTCATTTCATTCTGCAACTTTTGGTTACCGCATCACTGAAATGTTCCAAAAGGACAATGGAAACTTACAATACCGTGTAATACAAATAAAAAAGCATTGAATTCAATTCATATTCAAAGTCATTATAAGCCCTATTAAGCATTGTGTGAAGCCACTAGCGGTTGACCACATAATGGTGAACAGTCCTGGTAACCCTCTTCTCTTGCAAACGGTAGCAGGAAACAGTTAATTTGCATTTTTTCTTAATATAGGTTATGTTTGAGATATACAGGTATAGCACTTTGGTTCTGAAAAATACATCATTACATGTATATATATTTATAAATTACATAACAATTACACTGATAGTAGAGATATAAAAAAAATGTAACTCAAACATTTCCTCTGATTTCTGACATGTGAAACATGAACACATGTAAACACTATGGAAATTTCACCTGCAAAGCTAGTGTTTGGTATGTAGACACAGATTCGAGACTGCCCAATGTTAAAATATAATTTCGAAAAACTTGAAACCTTTACAATGGGGTAATCTCATGAACATAATCTCGGCCACACCGAGAAAGTGTGTACCACCACCATTACCGTTTGCTTTATATACCCTCGGTGTGAAATCCCCTTAACTTGTTGATACATCGTCAAATAAATTTCTGAATACAGATCATTATGTAATTAGGTAACAATAATCATCATGATAACTTTAAATTCTTGTCTTGCATGGAGTAATTAAGTTCATTCCTGACTTAACGCGATGACCTTTTTCTCAAAGGTCACAGGCAAAATAGTTTGCAGGTCTCAATATTTATCACCTGAGTGGTACCCTGAATCAATGTAGCCAAGCACAGTTGTGTTTCATTACTACTCTACGCTTCGGCCTTTTCCGGTCGCGTTTGGGAATCTCCGATAACCAAAATATGTTACGTCATTTCTGCTAAAGCATATCTGCCAGCCGAGGTCTCTAAAAGTATGAAAGTTTGATTATTTCAGCAGTGATAGTATGTTGTCCAGTGGTATTATAAAACTTTTGAAAACTCAAACTCTTAATACGAAAGGATAAAGGAAATTTGCGAAACCAATGATTTAGATAGATTATCAGACATCAACTGTATGTATCCAGATACATCATAACCTATCTCTGTGTCTCTGTATCAATGTCTTTCCAATATATATAAAGTACAGAACCGGTATGTTGTTTTTGATGAAGTCAACTCCTGTGGTACAATAGTTACCATCGGTATATTTTGAGAAATAACGTGACGACGTAACTATAATTAAAAAAACAGGTTTTTATGAAGGTGGCCTTATACTGGTCTTATCATATCAGATGCCTATTAAAAGTTTGTATACAAAGAATTGTTTTCTGTGTATCCGCACGTATACTCTGCCGATGAGTACTGGTCATCAATAAGCTAACAAATTTTATTCTTTCTATTGCCATTAATGATATATCATGCCATGCTTTCCTTATTGTTTACTATCAGCATGACTCTGTATTCTGTATGTTATGCTTTTTTTTATTCTGTACGTCTCGTGCAGAACAGAGAGTAATAAACATGGGGAGTACGAGATACAGGAGGATTTGGTTGTTGACCATCGTACAATGTATATTTACAGGCAAACTTATAAACAACACACAAACATATATCACAGAAGTAAAGGTAAAATTTACTGGCAAGTATATATGTAATTTGAATATATCGCAGCATGCGATTTATTAGGTTGTTTTTTTTATTCATTAATTTCTTTTTTGTCTTTAGTGTGGACCCAAAATACACCACGCCAACGATTTTTAATATTAACCAAAGAAAATGAAACCAGAGAAGTTTAAATGTGTGAGAAATATGCATTGTACAAAAAGTGAAAAACACCATGGATTTAAAGCAGAAAAAGATGTATAACAAGAGTGACGAGGTAGTATTCAGAATGACGCTATTGACATCATGTCCTTGTATCGTACACTGGACATCTCTACATGGAAATCAATAACATATGTTGTCAAAAGGAACCGATCGGTAAAGTATGTCGGATGAAGTTTAATTTAACTTATATCAATTTGCAAAATTTAGAGACGCAAACGACAATACCTTACAAAATTCAAAATCCTTTCAAATCACCCATCAGATTTTCAGAACGATTCTGTTTTTACAAATGACCAATTATGATACCGATATCAGAGGTAGAGTAATTTCAGATAAGAGAGATAAGGATCGTTTCAGCTTAATACACAGAAGAGTCAAGTTAAGTTACCTAATTCTCGGGTTCATAAACCATTTACTCCCACTCGAAAATTTGCCATTTTCTACAGTAGCAAATGTGATGTTTAAGCTTCCTATCATAAAATCTTTAATACAATAGGAATGTTCCCGAAATGTGTCTTCTTCACAATGTAAATCAGACTTCAATGATTATCCCTACATTTATATAGTCAGTTGAAGAAAGTAAAAGTGTCAGGTATTGGACATTTACTTTCTAAAATGAGTCATTCTAAAATTCACTAACCGTAAGCGATTTCATAAATGTACACAAAGTAGGGTTGAATACATGTACACAGTATAGGGTTGAATACATTACATATGTACACAGTATAGGGTTGAATACATTACATATGTACACAGTAAAGGGTTGAATACATTACATATGTACACAGTAAATGGTTGAATACATTACATATGTACACAGTATAGGGTTGAATACATTACATATGTACACAGTAAAGGGTTGAATACATTACATATGTACACAGTAAATGGTTGAATACATTACATATGTACACAGTAAAGGGTTGAATACATTACATATGTACACAGTAAATGGTTGAATACATTACATATGTACACAGTAAAGGGTTGAATACATTACATATGTACACAGTAAATGGTTGAATACATTACATATGTACACAGTAAAGGGTTGAATACATTACATATGTACACAGTAAAGGGTTGAATATATAACATATGTACACAGTATAGGGTTGAATATATAACATATGTACACAGTATAGGGTTGAATATATTACATATGTACACAGTATATGGTTGAATACATGTCATATGTACACAGTATAGGGTTGAATATATAACATATGTACACAGTATAGGGTTGAATATATAACATATGTACACAGTATAGGGTTGAATACATTACATATGTACACAGTATAGGGTTGAATACATTACATATGTACACAGTATAGGGTTGAATATATAACATATGTACACAGTATAGGGTTGAATATATTACATATGTACACAGTATTGGGTTGAATATATAACATATGTACACAGTATAGGGTTGAATACATTACATATGTACACAGTATAGGGTTGAATATATTACATATGTACACAGTAAAGGGTTGAATGCATTACATATGTACACAGTATAGGGTTGAATATATTACATATATACACAGTATAGGTTACACAGTATATATATTACATATGTACACAGTATATATATACATATATACACAGTATAGGGTTGAATGCATGACATGTGTACACAGTATAGGGTTGAATACCCTATAGGGTTGAATGCATGACATGTGTACACAGTATAGGGTTGAATGCATGACATGTGTACACAGTATAAGGTTGAATACATTACATATAAAACTCAAACACATACAGTAAAATCTTCACTTTATTTTTTCCAAACACTCACTAATTGTTCACTAAATGATGCATGTTAATCTGATTCTGAAACATTTGGTTAATAATTTGCAAGTGTATGCTTAAGTATAAAAACAAGGGCCATCAGTTACTGCTTCTAATAATATTTCACCAATTTAATCGGAACAAAGTGGCCATCTGAAATGGTAGTGACAAAAGCATCAGCACTATTACTGTGAATATTTCAACAAAATTTGTGAACCTTATGGAATTTATCAACTGGGCTAATAAAAAATTGCTAAACATGGGATAAACGACCTTCTTTGAATGTGTTCCTCTCCGAAATAACAATGGAACAAGATGGCTGCCTACTAGGTAGTACATATATGTTGTTTATCCATATATCCCTTGTACTCGTGAACCCATGAGAAAATCAAATTTTTGAAACTGAAATAAAATCTAAATTTTTTTAAGTTAACATTTATATCAAATTGAGGTAAACAAAGTGACAAACAGGTTCTGAAACATTTCAAAACAGCTTCAAGTCTGTGTTGATAAAAACACACTAACTTTAATATGTAGGCAATATATCAGTGAAAAGGACAATAAGGCACAAGGTTGAGAATCTAATCATAAATTATTGCGTTACAATTGTACCTTTTATTCAATTTTAGACAACATAAGCCATATAAGGATGATTAACCCCCTCACCTTATGTAGCAATTAGAATTATTTCCCATTTGATGAAATACTGAATTATAAAGATGTTACTGTAGTGATGACATTTTCTATATATTAGTTTTCTTTTTGTCCTAAAGAACAGTCCAAGAAACATGAAGAAAGTACTAGAAAGTGTTTCTCATCATCATTATTTTAGCCTTTCAGCATCACAAAAAAAAATTCACAGAGGACTGAAGTTACTATTCAGACAATACAGCTTTCAAGACAATACATCTGGAAAATATCCCTTTCTTTTAAGTCAAAATTAAATTTGGCATGTCACTAGTTAAAAAACATAGCCAAAGGTAAACATTTTTCAGGGGCTGGTATGTACACTACTTACCTTGAAACGTGGAAGTCTGTGTTCTCCAAAAATTGATCACACAACTTTATATGGTTTACATAACTAAAGATATAGGTAACTAACTAATAATAACTTCCAATGATAACTGCTGTTGCTTGTACAATACCTGAATTAGGTATTGTATGATGACAACATAAAATATGGAATGTAAATCAAAGTCTGGAATATCTACATAGCTCTTGTGGTAATATCAACATCATTAACAAAATATAAAATAGATTTAAGAAATTCAAAGTTCTTTGGCAAACAGTTTACACTGAATTCAATTCCAAACTTTATCAGTAGATCTCCCCTAATTTACTCTCAAGAACAAGTGCAAGCATGAAAGACCTGAACCACATACATGTATTAACAAAAGTGGCAATTACTGTATTAAAATTAAAATCCATGTAATAACTGGCAATTAAACAAGATTAAAGCTCTGAAAACAAGAAAGGGCAAGAACTCTTAATTTTCAAAAAGGTCTATCAAAATACATCTCCTCATGATCCAGAAAATAAAATGACATATCCTAAAATTTAAAAAAAGTTTCAAAGACTTAGATAGAGACTGACCAAGGTGATCTCAGATAGTTTAAGATTAATGACTAAAAAAAATCATTACATTGAAGTATGCTCCATTAACTGCAATTATAAATACATTATATCACAGTTACCCAGTGTACAGGTCACCTCTATGGTACATTAAGCTTAATATTAGTAAAAAAAAATCCAAACCAAAGATACACACAAATATACTACCATCAGTTGTATAAATGCCTTTAACACCATAAAGGCACTCAAAGTCTTGTGAATTAGTTCAAAACAAAAAATCACAATTCACTATTCAACAACTAAAATCGAGCCAACACCAGTTTGAGTTGAATGGGTTAACAACTTTGGTGCTGTGCACTAAGTATTTATACCAAAAGGTATGCTTAGTGATGAAATAGACATTGATTTGTAACATACCAGGTCTCATGTTCAATGTTTGCACATTGCTGTTAAGTTCATGTTGTCTCCCTGACAGTTGTCATGTTTACCAATGAGAACATAATGTAAAGGAGAGCCAATTTTTTGTACTTCACGGGTTGAATCAATTAACCATATTGTCTTAATGAAGCCTTACATGAAGAGGTGAGACCAACTGACAAATTAACAAATGAACTCACTAAATAGTGGCATGTTTTGATAGAGCATATACACTATTTGTTACACAGGTACATCATTGAGAGAGTAAGGAACATTAACATATGTACCTATGGAATTTAAGGACATTTTAGTCCCTAAAAATTGTCTGTAAGGGGTAAATAAAAACCTTCTCTTCCAATCTAATTTTGTAATAATATCTTTTTGACATGAGGTACACATTGCAGAGTGGACATGAGTATGATTATTACTTTTGTTATGTCATCACAAAAAATACGGTGTGAACATAAAAGTGCTATGGGGACAATTCATTTGCAAGTAGTGTGTAAGAGGTTGTAAAAGGAACACCTGATATCATATTTGTATTCCCTGTACTAAATAGAACAACAGACATCATATCTGTATGTCCTGTACTAAATGGAACAACAGACATCATATCTGTATTCCCTGTACTAAATGGAACAACAGACATCATATGTGTATTCCCTGTACTAAATAGAACAACAGACATCATATCTGTATCCCTATACTAAATAGAACAACAGACATCATATCTGTATCCCTGTACTAAATGGAACAACAGACATCATATCTGTATCCCTGTGCTAAATGGATCAACAGACATCATATCTGTATTACTTGTACTTAATGGCACTTAAACAATATTACATAATTGATATGCATATATAGAGGCAGGAAATTACAATTATTCATTATATATATGTACAAACATACAACATGACAATTCCATTTAACACATTTTTGTTTATCATTGATGTTATAAAAATAGTAACAGATTAATTGGACGTATTTGTGCTGTTTCTACATTTAAGAAAACTGTCATTCAACACATATATGTTCCACAAATTCCTGAAAATATTTCATATGCCATGTAATTTTTAGGTCATTATCTATAATGGGAGGTAGGTACACAGTAAAATAATCTAATCTAAATATGAAATATTATGAAAAACTGGGTTCCTGTGTTAGAGAGTAAAATTGTTTTGATTTCTAACTCACAAAATGTAATATCATTTTATGTGTCTCTGTCATTAAAATGTTTGTACTTAAAAATAATGAATAAGGCATGAATTAGAATAAAGAATAAATATATAAAGTTTGAATGTGTTTTCTTACAGTTCACAAGTATATATCCTGAAACAGTATGAATGACATGTTTGGTGAATAAGAGCAATCCCCTGCAAGGATATGTTTTTGTTTTTATGTCTTAGTTAATAAAATGTTATCTTCAAAAGAAAATTGAGGCAGTAACTTCACTGAACCATCATGAAAAATTGATGCTATCTAATATCAAGGTTACGACTAATACTAAGTATACTCCCATCAATTTTGGATATGAAATATATATGTTTAAACTCAATATCAATAAAAAAAAGTATATTCTGATACTGAAAAACAACAAAATCTGTTTAACATATAAAAATGACAACAAACCACTGTAGTAGAGAGTAGAGTGCTGATTTATAGTTCAAATTGAATGATGTGTATGTTATACACTTCAAATACCAATATACAGGAGCATTTCATTATAGAAAACAGCCAAATTTCTGAAAATGATCATTCATTAGAAATAAAGGCATGGTTTCAGCTGCCTTTATTTAAATATTCCTATATCTAGATTCACTAGGCATTGCTCATTATCACATTTGTAGATCTATAAGTTGTTCTAGCTTGTAGAATGTTATGGTGGGTTAGGCAGGTACAGCAGAGGACTATAGCGGAATTTAATAAAAAAACTTCTGCTACATTATGGTTTTGTTCAACACAATTATACAAGGTATTAAGACTTGTTTTCATGGTTTGGGCCCATATTTGGGTATACTCCCTCTCTAGTTTAGGCCTAGATATCAATACTACATCATGAAGTGGAAAAGCCACCCAAGGGCCTCTAAAGTAACCCAAGTTCTTTTAATGCTATTGTTCTTGTAACACATAAAAAGACCTTGTAAACAAATTGTTATTTTTCTGTGATTGATGACAAATGATGCACAACATGCTAATTGGTTACCTGACCCTAATATCATTTTACATAATGTACTTAACTTGCTTTCTCACAAAATATTTCTATTTTGTTTGTAAAGCTGAACTCTTATAATCAAATATCATGTGTTAACCAGTACTGTGACAAAATATCTGACCATTGGTGAAGGCAAAGGTATAACATACAACACAGATACTATGATAATGATAATCACGGTATGATGATACCAAAATGACAGTCCTTCAGTAAGGCCTCAAAAATCTTTAGTTAAGTCTCAAAAAAATATATTTCTCTTGTTAGCTACTGACTTGGATTTGTTGCCTAACCTGTCTGCAATCTTCAAGGAAGCTATATATTAAGTCATCATCACCCTTCTGTTAAACGATAGGAAAAGATATAATTGAATAAAGCTTATTGACCTGTACCTAATGTTTTTTAAACATGTAACAGAAACACATATTTCAACCTCATAAGGCTGTAAGGATAGATTTTGCTGTTTTTGGAAGCTTTTCAAGGAAAAAAATGTATAAAACATTGAATCTTTATGGACATGATACTTACCAGTTCATACAACACTAACACATACACAGATTTTTACAATAAGATATGGTACGCGTAACATCTGAGCAGCTATATATCACAGTGGGTCACAATATAACAATACATACTATTAAACAACAAGTATAATAGTCATCTCAAAAATAATGACATCTGACTGTGATATGTAAATCTTTGGTAACCTTTGGAATCAAAGTACAGTAACAAAAACACACACAACATATTCTTATCCTCTTGTGTTCTAACACAACATCTTGATTGGTCAGTAAAAATAATTTGCCACAGTAATCACCATATATACTGTCCTCCAATTTCTCATTTGCATATTAATCCTAAATGACATGAATGACCTCGATTGAACTAGCTTGAAAATGAGGTCAGGAACAGAAGCATGACCTCAAATGGTCATCTGATTGTGAATATTACCCTATAAGGCATTATCAACCCTCAGGAAAAAAATCCCAGAATTCAAATAGAAATTATGCATGAAAAATGGCACTCAATTATTGCGTTTCTACTTGTTTAAATATACATGAATTAGAATAGGGGTAACAGTAGATTTTGAATATGCTATCGCCCATGTATGCTATTGCCCATGTTTCTTATCTGCTACCTATTGTAATTCCTGACTTGAGTAAAATCATGATAGTACACTACAAATTTCACACATTAGTGTTATTCCTCAATTATTGACAAATATGCTGCATGCAGGCTTCTAGACTTTTTGACATATCAGATTCATTTGTGTAGAAATGTAAACTAGAAACTATGTATCCTGCATTCTTGATACCCCAGGGGTTACGTTTAGTATTGCTCTATGTACTATTGGAACCATTCTTGATACCCCAGGGGTTACGCTTCGTATTGCTCTATGTACTATTGGAACCATTCTTGATACCCCAGGGGTTACGCTTCATATTGCTCTATGTACTATTGGAACCATTCTTGATACTCCAGGGGTAAGCTCACTATCGTTCTCTCTACCCCTGGAACCATCACTGATACCTCCGGAGTTGCACTCAGTATCGCTCTCTGCATCACTGGAACATGGCATGGCAAAATTTAAGGCAAAATTGAGGGCACAATTAAGCAAAGTAATTTAACTTTCAATTTTGTCATGAAATGTTTTGGGGGTGGAGAGAGCAGAAGTGATCATAACTCTTGGAGTATCAAGGATGCATTCCCTGATAATCTAAGATAGAAGCTATTTTCCCTGATTTAAAATGAAAGGTAGAAATTCTTAAGTAAAAAGTATATTTTCTGATTCAATAGGGGTCACTTCTTAGTCATAATAGAACCAAGTGTTGTACATGTATCTGTTTAGATGTTTCTAAGTCAGGCTGTCTAATACTTCATATATCATTTATGGTATGACAAAATCTAGAGTTTTCACTATGATCAGGAGACATACAAAATTGCATGATGATGAAATTACAATTTTATGTTAATTATTGCTAAACATTCACTTACTGATAAATTATCAAATGCAGGTGTGTTTCTAATCCAAAAAAGAATTCTTAGTACTGGACTCTTCCATTTGGTGAGGACTTAAATTTTTTCTGTTAGATTTCTTTATCTAATATTTATTTGGAATGATGCAGATTTCCAGTTTCCATCTACCCAAGGGAGAAAATCCTAATTAAAAAAATCTCTGATTTTAAGAATTACCTGGTAGTAATGTTTGCAAAAAACCTGAATCTATATACATAAATTATTTTTAAAAATCTAATTAGTAGTTGTGTTGGACAAGATACACAATTATACCCCTTTTTAGTCCATACCAATCCAGCCTGGATAAAAATGTTCCGAGATATCACCATTAAACTGTTTACTAAAGGCTGAGTCTGGTACAAATGGATGTTTGTAGTACAATGTCGTACCATTAGTAAGAAAAGCTGACCACCAACCAAAGGTGCCAACAGTCATAATGGTGTGGTTTGTCATGGTAAGTAATGCCATGTCGGTCTCAGGTGTGTTTCCCTCCGCAAAATACACATCACTATATCTCCCAAGTGCTTTACGTGACCAAGTAATATCGTTTGAGCAAACAATAAAGGTTGGGTTCCTGTAGTGATCACGAAAATAATTTGTTGCCTTTTGTAAATATTCTTCAGTTGCAGTTGTGTATCCAAATTCTGTAAAAATTCCTGGTTTTGTATAGTCTCCACGACGGATATGAATGCCCACCAGAATATCGCCTCGAGCTATTCTAGTTTCACTTTTCTTTATGATACTTTGTAAAATTACTGCAGCAGTTGTCCTGACATGCTTTTGAAATTGGAATTTTTCCCTTATTTCATTTTCATAACATTTCCAGTATTTCCAAGACTGAAAATACCCATGCAAAAAAACATCTTGCCTTTTCTCCATTTTTTCAAATTTGATGTCATAAGCACAGTCCCAGTCATCTTCATATCTGCTAAGGCATGAGCAATATTTAAACTTTGGAAAAGGGTTTGCACGCATGTTAAATGTTGGTAAAAGGATGTTTTCTGTTTCCGTTTCTAATAAGGTCATAACCAGCTCCTTCTCCTTGGAAAACGCATAAATAAATGCATACTGAAACATCTGATTGGCTAGTCTGCCTTGTAATGGCATGCAAACAAAATGAGTTCTTTCCAAATGATTCCTATCCTCCAAGTATAGATTGATGCAACTTTTCCACCTTGAGATAGTCACTAAAACCAAAACCACCAGGACAACCAGGAAAACTGAAAATGTATATAAATATTTAATTAACTGTCCCCTGTAAGATAATGAGCAAACATGAACAATTAAAGCAAACCTTAAATGCAACAATATACACTCATTAATAAAGCTTTCATCTCAGTGGAGTGTCACTGAACGTCTACATTTTTCCTTACAAGGCAATTTATTTTGATATAGTCTTTTTTTCTTTAAAGCAGTGTCAGTTCAAGCAAGTAAATATTCCTGTAAAACTTCCTTGTTGGTACTCTGTACTTGCATCTTTAATTTTCTATTTTGAAACTTAATGACACTTTTTGTAAAATATAAATATCAAAAACTATATTTTGATTTTGTAGATATGTGCTTGATTAATTTATCAAATAATTATTAGCAATAATTTTCCGGTGCTAATTTATCACATACAAACTAAGTCATCACACAGGATACTAATACCATCAAATTTGTATGACATGGCTAGAGTAAATGGATCCCTACTCATGATCAAAACCGTCACCCCTTGTAAGAGTTTAAATCTGTACCTTCTACAGTCCAAATGTAGGTTACAGGTACAATAAGAGTAAAATTGTGTACATTTTATTCAAATGCTGCATAAATGGCAGTGTGATCTGTGTAATACTGGAAGATCATGACCATTCGAATGACCTGAATGTCTCTGGTGTAGATATGGTCTAATAAACTACCAGATGAGAAGGTGACTTGATATGCTGCTGGTACATGTTTTAATGGATGACAAAGTATTAAGTGTTTTATTAATATCACAACTGAAGACTCTTGGAAGTCAAATAGCAGTCTGTAGAGGAGTGACATTCGAATTCAGCCAATTTCTATTTATAGTAAATTAACATAGTTTTTCAACCATATAACTTGAACTGGGAAACACCTTAAGGTGATCTTTGTGAACACATTTGTGAAGTTTGGATCGAATCAGAGAGATGCAACAGAGACTTTCAAGCATTGACATGTAAAAATTTTGTTAGTGTCTACTTATAGGTACAATGACCTAGTATTTGACTGCACAAAGTTGGAAAAATATCACTATTTCATTTGTGTAAAAGTTGACAGTGTATTATATATGCTTGATAAGTTCTATCCATTAAGGAACAACATTTTCTCAACAAAACTTAAGTATGGGACTACTTCATTTTCATCACAATAAATTATAACAGTATTCATCTTTACTAAGGCTGCAATATTCTTCACCAATAATTTATCATTCTTGTCTATATATCAATTAAAAGTGAACTATCTTGTGTCATGTTCACAATAAACCATATAGCTTGGAGTACTATTTTAAAAAACCTAACTATAACTTCCAAAATTTGAATTATATAACGAAATCATGTAAATGACTCCCTTTTCACTGGCTGTTACAATATGTGCAAGTCTTGATATTTATTATTATTACTGGCATAAGTGTTCATAACCTACAAAACTATTAGGTACTTTTTTTCTTTGTGTTGAGTCACTTTTCCAGACAAAAATTAATTTCAGCCTTGAGCCTATACATGTAGGCTTTGTGTTACATAATGTTAATCATCCAATATAATAAATTGTTGTTTTTATACAAAATGTAATGGTAAATTGTCAAATTTAATCATTCACTTTTTCTATTGAAATTTCATACATCTTTTACTTTCAATAACAACAGTGTTATGTTTTCAGTGATAACAAACTTTCGAAGTCAAAATTGAAGTCCAAATCTAATATGGCTGTCTGACTGCTATTTTGTTTTTCTGATCAGTCCAAAAATCAAATGGGTACAACTAGGGACCAAGGGGAACCTACATATAAAATTTTAGAGAGATCTGTCCAGTACTTCTGAAGAAATAGCGATAAACTTCATTGAAAAAATCCAAGAAGGCCACCAATTTACCTTTTTATTTTTACGATCAGTTCCAAAATTAAATGGACACAACTAGGGACAAAGCGGAACCTACATAGGAAATTTGAGAGAGATCCATCCTGTACTTCTTAAGAAATAGTGATAACAAAAACTGTTTACAGATGGACAAACCATCTGATGATGGTAGGCTAAAAATGTTTGATAGTTTTCCATTCTAGTTTGACAATAGGAAAATATCATGATACTGAGCTTCTTACTTTCTCAAAAGAAGTCATTTGAATACTTTCACACTTTTGAGTCCAGTGACCTTGAATGTTGGCCATGGAGAGCAGGGCATATAATACATTCTAAATCTCTTCAAGGAGTGACCTTAAACTGCAAGCATGACCTTAAAAAGTGGGTCACAGAGGTCATAGTACCATATATCCACCACACATACACCATAATCAAGCTTACCTGCTTGAAGCTTATATCTAATATAAAGTACTTACCTTTAGGTTTGAAACCAACATTATATGTGATCCGCATTGTGCCAATCACCAACGCACTTGGATTATCCATCAAAATCTACAAAAGTACCATTAAAGATGAGAAGTATGAAGAAAACAACTTTATTACAGACTTATATTAAATCAGATCCATTTAATTAGTTTTGGATTATAAAAACAATGACAATAGTTACAACATTGCTCATCCAGTATTCAAAAATACATCTCCTCTCTTTTCTAAATGGGCAAAATAAATTTGTTAAAACAAACACTGAAAGGTAGCTGACACTGCAGGTAAAACCTAATGAATCATGACAAAAATAATTGCTATTAACATCTTCTAAAAGTTCTTATCCTAAACAAAGATACCAGTGACTAATATCTACCACATGTTCTCATCCTTAACAGAGAAACTAGTGAATAATATCTACCACATGTTCTCATCCTTAACAGAGAAACTAGTGAATAATATCTACCACATGTTCTTATCCTAAACAAAGATACCAGTGACTAATATCTACCACATGTTCTCATCCTTAACAGAGAAACTAATGAATAATATCTACCACATGTTCTCATCCTTAACAGAGAAACTAGTGAATAATATCTACCACATGTTCTCATCCTTAACAAAGGTACTAGTGACTAATATCTACCACATGTCCTCATCCTTAACAGAGAAACTAGTGAATAATATCTAACACATGTTCTCATCCTTAACAAAGATATCAGTGACTAATATCTACCACATGTTCTCACTAATATCTACCACATGTTCTCATCCTTAACAAAGATACTAGTGAATAATACCTACCACATGTTCTCATCCTTAACAAAGATACTAGTGACTAATATCTACCACATGTTCTCATCCTTAACAGAGAAACTAGTGAATAATATCTACCACATGTTCTCATCCTTAACAGAGAAACTAGTGACTAATATCTACCACATGTTCTCATCCCTAACAGAGAAACTAGTGACTAATATCTACCACATGTTCTCATCCTTAACAAAGATACTAGTGACTAATATCTACCACATGTTCTCATCCTTAACAGAGAAACTAGTGAATAATATCTACCACATGTTCTCATCCTTAACAGAGAAACTAGTGAATAATATCTACCACATGTTCTCATCCTTAACAGAGAAACTAGTGAATAATATCTACCACATGTTCTCATCCTTAACAGAGAAACTAGTGAATAATACCTACCACATGTTCTCATCCTTAACAAAGATACTAGTGACTAATATCTACCACATGTTCTCATCCTTAACAGAGAAACTAACCCTAACAGAGAAACTAGTGACTAATATCTACCACATGTTCTCATTGTTAACAAAGATACCAGTGACTAATATCTACCACATGTTCTCATCCTTAACAAAGATACTAGTGACTAATATCTACCACATGTTCTCATTGTTAACAAAGATACCAGTGACTAATATCTACCACATGTTCTCAACTTTAACAAAGATACTAGTGACTAATATCTACCACATATTCTCATCCTTAACAGAGAAACTAGTGACTAATATCTACCACATGTTCTCATCCTTAACAAAGATACCAGTGACTAATAACTGACATAGATTCTCATCCTAAACGAAAGGTTCTGGGAACTTTTGTGATATGTTACTTAATGTTGCATGAATTCATGACAAGAGAGGTCATTTTTAACTAAAAGACATTTACCCCTACTAAGAGTGATGGCTACTAAGAGACTTGATGTAGCATTCAGCACTGTAGTAACTGTACTGTAGTAATGGCATATAGGTCTGAAATACTGCACCTATTTTTTCAGCGCTTTCCATCAAGCAAATCAATTTTACTTTTGCAGCTGTAGATGACTAGATAAACGTGACTTAGCCAAAAAAATTTGAAAAAGCTTAGTTTAAATGTGATTTCAGCCATTGAGCAATAAATCCATATCCCAATTGGCATATAAAAGGCTAATTTGCATATCATACACAAATTTGTGATTTTTCCCCCTGCCTGATTGTAGTTTATGGACATAGTTCATTGTGCACATGGTTTACTTGTTGTACTGATCTCCTTGTTTCTGTTGATGTGTCTTCGGATATATACATAGTCACATCCAGTTGTACAGATTAAGAGTACATTAATTGATAATTGTTACATTTAGGTGTGAACTTGTAGTCTACTCCTTGCAATTGTTTATTAAGTCTGGACTTAAAAGAATTGGTTTTTGGAAGAAAAGTCTCAACATGGATTTGAAGGCTGTTCCAAGTATGAACAACCCTATTGCCAAATGCATGGCCCCTGATATGCATACAGGTGTTTATTCTTTTCAGGCTGGTTCCTTATACTGTATCACAATCCGATTTAAACACTTTAGATTGTAAGGTATCTTTCCTTGTTTAAGCTCAATTCCTCGGTTTTGATAATTACATTATGTATAATGCTACTCTCTTGTAAACTTTGTCTTTTGAAATATCAATATAATAGAATGAAATGATGAGAAGTAACTCATAATCAGAATGAGTTCTGAATTAGTGTTCTTTATTGGTTAAAATACTTTTTGCTACCTCTCAATCCAGTTAGCATTTTGACTGACCAGTGCTCGAAAGGGACCAGCGCTTGAAAGCTCGATACATTTTTGGTTCTCATTCCACAAAACAACCAATTTGGTCACTTGTAATGTATTATAATTATGGAATGTAATGACACTTTTCAAACTCTGATAAGAAAAGCTCTCTTAACTACCATGGTAATCTGAATCCAGCGACAACTCAAATAAATACTGGTTACTGAAACATTTGCATACTTCACTTCTATGCTTACTCTAAAATAAACGTAAAACGCATGTGCTGATCCATGATTTCGGGCATCTATCACGTATTATTTTGCAACATTTTCTTTCCAGAAAATAGTTTTTTTCTGTTTTTTTTTTTTTATGGGTTTAAATCTTAATAATATTCTATCAGTATATAAAACGGCACCACAACAACAATGTACATATTTGATGGGCTGTTCGATCACCACCGATAGCATGTCGAGCATGGATTCCGAATTCCGTCGACATCCACTCATCATCACACACCGGCGTCGTTTACCTAAACGGCTGATAATTTACTCAAAAACAACAGTAACATAACTGAATACGTCCATAACATGTCTAATGCTTAGTTCACAAGAGTCATTGAGAAATATTCCAATGAAAACAGCAAAACACTAATGTAACATTTTGATTTCATTAGCAACTTACGTGATCATCTTATCATTACAGAAAGACCAGGAGTTGGTGAAGGACACAATCGGAAACTGTTCGAATGAAATGTCACATGGTCTGACAGGTATGTACAACAAGCGTTCCCAGTTGTACTAAAAATAAAACCAATTTACGGAAATAAACTTGAAGACTTTCCGGATTTTTATGCAACATAAGGTCGCTTTCCCGTCAGCTGTTGAAACGAAGAGAGCGGTTAAAACATGCAAGAAAAACGCCACGTACAGATCGAGACTGAGTCTGGACTTCGGAATATTTGGCACGTGCAGATTGAGTGGTCCAGTCGTAACTAACCGAACTAACTTGTTGAATATAAGAATGTCAGCGTAAAGTAGGGTGGGTGCACACACACACACATTTACCGGAAGCCTTGTACTACTAAATATGAGTTGAATGGATAATATCTTAATTTTAGTTAATTGTTTTCTGCTTGCCGGAAAACTCTGAAACTGCACATTTTGAGCTTTATATCATGCTTGATTGGAAACTGAAATTCAACATTCACAGTCGAACAAATATGCAAAGCAATTTACGGAAACAGACATGTAGGTTTTCCGGATTTATTTCATTCTGCCTGATAATTTCCTGAAGTATCCGCTTCCTAACATAGGGATCGCACGAATTCCCAACCCACGGTCCTTAGGTATGTATTATAGCAGAGACGTATATATCATGCGATATTTACGTCTCTGATTATAGTGACCTACAATACTTAAATATGGACCGTGGGTCGGGAATTCGTGTCAAATTCCATGTACACGCATTACACGGCCTCTCGCCGTGTTTTCTTACAGTTGACATAGACAGAGGGTGGTACAAGTCCCTGTGTAATGGACAGTACCTGTACCAGGTACTTCTACAAGATAATGTTCGTATCTTACTCACCTTGTATGTTTGATTATGCGTCCGTTTATTCTTCTATCGACCGACCGTGTCGTCTGGAATGCGTCCAGTCCCAACTATTTATGACTGAAATGTTTTTTAAATCACAATGAGATTATATTTACACATTGTAGAAGCGGCGTCTGTCACTAAGCATGTCGCTAATTACTTGCCTGATGCAATTATGTGTATATCAAGGGCACATGACGAGTAATTCCTTCAAAGTGTACCCTGAGTGAAAATATAAATTAATTTAGTATAATTCTGACGATGACATTATGTAGACGGTAAACAACGATATGAAAACTGTCAGAATTTCTGTTATTGTTTAAATATCTTTATTGTCAACCTTAGAACAAGGCATGAAGCACCAATTAGAAACATTTATACATGGAAAACATTACTGTCATGGTAGTGACATACTTTTCACAAAAAATACACAAAATATTATTTAGATTTACTAATGAGTTTAATTGGAACCAAACTAGTCGACTCAAGGTTAACGAAGCCTGGTAGTATTGTATACAATTTCTGAGCACTGATGAGGAATTTGTCGTACGTATTTCGTGCCAGAAGTCTATATCACAATGTTATATACCGTGGTACCACTTCGGTCCAAAGATACAGAAATGTGTCAGTATTTTTAAAATATCTTCAAAGTTGATTAATTCTTTAAGAAATTAAATCATCTCGGTTCACTCCTTTAGTCTGCTTAGGTGTGAAATGTATGTATAGATAAATAAATCTAAACACACTTGTAACACGTGCTGTCACGGCAAGAGGCACAATATACACGTTTATACCTATGTCAGAGAATGAGATCAAACCCGGATGTCAGTAGGTGGGCAAGGGGCAACTTGAACGTGAAGTTTTTGTCTGTTCCAGGTGCAACCTCGCGGTTTAAAACCCAATCATACATACTTGAAAGACCTATTAACACATTACACAGCCATTGTGTATTTAAAATACAGGAAACCAAACATGTACAAGGTAGGATAATGTCTATAATACAATGTCATTATTGACCCTTTACATTAGGTTATAAAGTTACAGGTATTGAATTAAAGATATTTTATTGCAAAAATTATTACAACAGGATTAGGTACAAGTTATTACAACTTATGAAACACCCTTTCCCCAATATATAACAAAATATGGTTAGACAACGCAATAGCCATATGGCAACAAATACACTAACTACATATTTTAGGAGAGAGAGGATTGAGGGGGTAGTTTAGGCGGATGACGTCAAGTGAACCTATTACTCGATTTAATAAAGTTTTGGACATTCAAAAAAAATTTCGAGTTTGTTTCAAAAGAAAGATCGTTATTACCATACAATATCAAATCTAAATCACAATGTATGGGTAAATTTAAATCATCTAAATGTTGAAAAAGAACATTTCTTTGTAAATTATAATGACAACACATAAAGAAAAAAACGATAAGAATTTTCACACAAATGTCCACAAGAACAACTGGGGGTATCCACAAGGTTTATCCTGAATAAATCATAATTTAAAGAACTGCATTGGTGTCTAAGTTTCGTTACTATGATATTTAATTTACAGTCACCTATCCCAAAATGAGAAGGTGGAGAAATGTGATCGATAGGTTTTAGAGACTTTTTAAAAACACTTAATGAGGATGACGACTTGATTGAGTTATCCAGATTATTCCAACAACGCATAGTAGACGGCAAGAAAGAAGAATTAGTTGTAGAAAGACGGAAAAAGGGAATTCTATAATTATTACTATTTCTCAAATAATATTGAGCTTGATCTTGTACAGTAGAGGAAAGTAACGAGGAAAGGTATTCAGGTGTTTGGTTAGTATACATTTTGTAGAAGAGTTTAAGTTTTCTTCTTTTCCTTCTAGAAGACAAAGTTTCTAAACCCGTTTCAAAATTCAAAGCATGAATACTAGCATAAGAAGGAAGGCCTGTAATAATTCTAGCTGCTTCACGTTGGGCTTTTTCTAATTTTTCAGATTCCAAATTTGAACAACCATCCCACAATTCGCAAGCGTATTCTAGAATGGGTAATATAAAAGTATGATAAATTCTTAAAAGCGCATCCCGTTTTAATACAAATTTATTTTTTTCATAACAGATGAGAAAAATCACTTCAATATGATCTGCTATATCATTAATATAAATCAGAAATAAAAGAGGGCCAAGAATAGAACCCTGTGGAACCCCAGCATCTATAAAACCTAATTTAGAAAAAGACCCATTAACACATACTTTTTGATGTCTCTGATGTAAATAGTCCTTCAACCAAGCCAATAGCTCTCCGTCTATTCCATAGGATTTTAACTTAATAAACAAACCTTTATGCCAAACTCTATCAAAAGCTTTTGAGATGTCACAAAAGACGATACATGTATGTTTTTTTTCTTCGAGTGCTAGACATATATTATGATACATTTCAATCAGTTGATATAAAGTAGAATGTCCGGGCAAGAAACCAGACTGATATTGATAAAACAACGAATTTTCTATGAAATAATTATAGATATGATTAAAAACTACACGTTCGAAAACTTTGCCAACAGTTGACAGTAGAGATATTGGCCTGTAGTTAGAAGGAGAGTGTCTATCATCCTTTTTAAACAACGGCATAACTTTAGCTAATTTCCATACTTTGGGATAAACACCAACAGAGAGTGACATATTAAATAGTAACTCAAGTGGTTTACAAACAGTATTACAAACATTTTTTAGCATATAATGACTAATTTCATCCTGGCCCGAGGCCTTTCCAAGTTTCAGTATTTGCAACACATCTTTTATTTCCATATAATTTACTCTAATAAAATTAAAAGTTTTACTGATTTTTGGAGCAATATCTGGAACTTGGGCGTCACAATCATCAATACTAGTTATACTGCAAAAATAGTCATTAAGTAGATCACTTTATCTACATCACTAATAATTACAGTATCAGTAAAAGGGTCTACCAGAATTGGTATGTCATTAGATGTACCACAAGAATTTATTAACCGTTTGATTAATCTCCAGTAAGCTTTGGGATCAGTAGATAAGTAATTATTAATAAAGTCATGGACATGCTCATAAAACTGTAGCCTGCAGTACTTTTTCATATGATTGACTTTGTTACGTTGTGTTTTAAACTTTTGGATAGCCGAAGAAGATTTCGATTTTCTAACTGCTTTGTGTAACCTATCACGAAGTCGTATATGTTTCCTTAGCTCAGAAGTCATCCATGGCTTATCATTTGGTCGTATGGTTACAACTATTGTAGGTATACAAAGTTCCACAAATTTAATAAAAAAAAACATTAGTAAAAGTTTCACAAGCAATATCTACTGATGCACAATTTGAAAAAGTTTCATTCCAATCATATTGACATAAGCTCATTGAGCTTATTGTAATCTGCTCTCTTATATAACCAGACTTTGCGTGTATAGACAGATTTAAAAGAACTAAGGAGTTTAACGCTAACAGTACAACCTTCATGATCACTAACTGACCTATCTATATTTATAACAAAAGATTCTATACAGAATACAGAATCACTTAGAAGAAGAGGATCAAGTAAACTTGATCTAGTCATACCTACACGAGTAGGTTCCGATATTACATTTTTAAGACCAAAGGAATTTAAAATATCAGGTTTAGCAATATACATAAAAAAAACATTGCATATAGAACAATAAAAATACTAGAATTACCCCCCAAAATAGAACTTTTAGGTGCTGAAATTCACGGTGATCACAAAGTTACTGCATTATTTAATATCTACATACACTCCAGTATCACAACGGAGAAAACAAACAAAGAGAAAATATCAGAAATCATTAATGAATATCATAATTTAATAATATCTATAGACTTTAACACATCAAGCACCTTATGGGGTAGAAAAAAAAACAAATAAAAGAGGAGATCTTATAGATAATTGGATATCTGATAACGACATCATTATGCGTAACGACCCTGAATTGGCATCAAGGATCGAAATAATAACTGGAAAAACATCAAAGCTCACATTAGCGTCACCGGCAATGGCTACCACACTCAATGCACACAAGGATCAGATCACTACCCTACATTCGCCAAATTTAACTTAAAACCAATCAGAAACAGAATAGTATTCACTCCT